CTGTTCTTATCTCTTGTATTATTTATTGTGGTAATAGTACTCTCTCTCAAAACCTTTAACAGTCCTTGAACAGACAGACTAATGCACAATTCACAAGAAGAACGCCATTATGTATCTATTTAGAGAGTAATTGATTTGCAAGTCTGCATCCTCCAGATAGCAAGACTGGGTGAGCATATAACAAACTATATAGCAGAACTCCTCATCTCTCTTCTTGAACTAAGGAGCACAAATTATTTCAAAAGATAGAGTATAACTGGATTGTTTTCTTCTGTTTATACCTTGATATTGACATTAACTATGCCAAAGAGGTCAGTTGCTAAAATAGTTTGCACAGGCAGGTGCTTGTTGAAAGTTCCTGAACCAATCCATGTGTAGACTATAGATAAATAGGACATGGAATTTAGGCTATTAGAAACATATTTCTTTTCTTGAAAAGAAAAGGTTATCAGTATCAATGACTAGCTAGATTAGCATTCCTAATCTATTTTTAACTTGCAGGAATCTAAGAATATCTATTTATAGAATAGCTGTCGGTCATGGAACTGTATATTTAATGGTAAATTATATAGGACTGCAGAAGACACTCTACAAAGTCTGGTTTTAGAAATTAATTATATATCATTATACTCTAATGGATGTTGCTGTGTAATCTATTATTCTCTACTGGTAATGGAGTCCAGGCCATGTATTCTCGAAACAATCTCAGCGCTGAGATGTCCTAGAGTCTTAACTTCTAACACTGTTTCTAGGATATCCTAGGGTCTCAACTTCTAACAGTGTTTCTAGGATATCCTAGGGTCTAAACTTCTAACACTATTTCTATCATAGTTAGAATACATAGCCACTGGGTACTAGTAACCAATAGTCACTAGTGCCGCAACAAAATTAATGAAATCATATGATTGAAATGGACTTTTTTTTATTTTGATTGCTCCATGTAGTCTAATGATGATATGTAATATGTCACTGTCAATCTCTGTGTTATATCATTGACGACACCAATTCACTGACAAATTAAAAAAAGATGATCATTGCTTAGAAAAATATTTCTGAGAATTCTTAGAAAATTTCAACCTTGGGCCATACCAAAGTATATATCTGAAAACCTGGAATATTGGCAATTTTTGAAATTTCTAAGAATTGAAGCTTTTTGATCTTCAAGTGTGAAAACTAAGAAGCACTTGAGTTGTCAATTAAAAACTCTTTAAGAAATTAATATGCACGGTTGAAATTAGTTGAAATTAAACTATCCTGTTTTAATCAAAGTATTTATAATAAGATTTGTACCTATTATTATATAATTATAATATTTCAAATAGCAGATATAAAAGTTATGTCATATGAAGACTTTAAGTGTTAATTAAGTGTGAACTATTTAATGAGGTACTTAAGATACTAATTAATATAATATTGTATATTTACATCAGACTATGTATAGCACTCTCTTGTATTACCTCTGTTTTCTGTATGAACCGTTCCAAGACAAGGTGCTTAGAATTATTTAATCCTTTCAAGACTAGCGGCCCCTTGGACCTGTCATGATAATAACTGATATTATACCCTATTGGCCAGTAGAACAGCCTTCAGATAAAATTAAGTTTTATTAGTTGGAGTTCAGGGTATATGACATTTTATTTCCTTTACTCTCCTAGTTATAGCAATAATCTCAATTTCTTTGTATATTAAATATTTTTAACTGAGCTATCTGTAGATCACTTTTCAAAAAGAAATATGATGTTGTGTTTGTCTTCAATTTATTATTTATATTTTCCACACAGATATAACTGATAATGTGGTGTTTGTTATCTGCAATGTTTGTAAATTCATTGCAATTATTGTCAAATTATGCTAAATTTTTTATCTGAAAAGTGATAGAGAGCCTCAGACAGTTGAAATTGATCTCTATCAACTTGTTAAACAAACATATTTATTAATTTATATTACATCATACTTATTGTTATTGGCACTTTATACAGCAATTGGAAAAGTAATATATGATATTGTCTAATATCAGATATCAGCATAATATAATATACTTATGTATGATATACCACAGTAATTAGAGAACTACTGCCTCCATATATCAGTATATCAGAATATATGAGTAATTAGATAATAAGATATAACGATTGGATGTCATGGAGATTCCAACGCTACAGCCTGCTTCATATCTAGCCTGCTTCATATCGTTATATGCAATTGATCTTATAAGAGTTATTTTGTTATGAATAAACAAGGGTTGAACTTGTACCGATGACTGTCTATTACACATAGTTAAAGACTATTTCCTTCCTTACACAGTAAGCTTACATGGCAGTACTGTAAAGCTCTCTTACTCCCCCACATACATCTGCTCAATACACTTGACTTTTGGGTTCACACTCTTTCGAATTGACACATTTATATTTGAAGCCTCTTGATTTGAAGCCAAGTCCATAAACTCTATGAGCATGACCAGGTAGCTGTAATAGGGGTCAAAGCCCCACCCCCTAAAATACAAAGTTCTAAAGAGCATTGCCCCGGATACGGATATATTTCATGCCCCTCCAAACAATCAAGGATGAGCATGACTATACATCAGAACATAGATCTACAAACACACACTCCACTCAATAATATGATATATGATTACATAGCTATAAGGACTATGAACACCAGAGTCAATGAAGTCGTGGATTAAACTTAAGCGTGTTCTGCAGTACAAAATTGAAGGGCCCAATGGGCTATTTCATAAAAGTGTTGCCTTTACCTGTGAATTTTCATTTTGTTTTAATCTGAAGACTTTCGTGGGACTTGGCAAAGAATAGGTCTTATACTCTTATGAATGTATAAGAGATGGGGTAAAAATGGCATATTTCTCCTATCAGGCATAGAGATCATCCTTTGAGGTTTCAAGTCAGTATATAGGACTGTTGAAATAGTGTATCAAGGTTATATACAGAGGTTACTATTAGATTATACTTATTCAGTTTACATGCAATATAAGTATAGAGTGTAAGTGAAGGTTGTATTGATATAATTTGATCTACCATATGTGATATTTTCAACTGAAATAGTCAAGCTAATTGCTATATATTTATATTGATTTATTTGTGAAAACCACAACATTATAATATAGCTTACAATATGGTTATTTCTAAAACATGTTAAAGGCTCCTTTCCCACGGAATAGCTTTATATTGACTTATTTGGCCTAATGTTTTAAGTAGTGTTTGAGAAAAAACATAGCTGTATAGAATTATAATTTTCAAATAGAATCCTTGGAAAATCCTTGGACAGTGCCTCTTAGAATTAATCTTTTCTGGATTATCTATAAGCTTAACCACTAACAGCTGGGTCAGTTAGAGTAATAACTTATTCAAGGTCACTGAACAATCTCCAGAATCAACGTTGATAACTCCTAACATAACTAAGCAATTGACATCAAGATACCGACACCCTAACTAAATAAGCTACAGTCAGTTCTCAAAAAGTGACAGACATTTCTGATAGCTTGAGTACCAGTATCTATCATGATAACAAATGATATGAAGATTCCAACACCCTAACTTAATAAGCTACAGTCAGCACTCAAAAAGAAACAGACATTGATAGCTTAATTACCTGCTAGTTTAAGGTATGACCTAGTTAAATATATTTAAATACCTGAGTATTATATATTGTCAGGTAGAGAGATGAGTCATTTCACTATTAGTATATACAAATAATCAGCCTTTATTGATTTTATTTAAAATAACTCATTTTAATATACTGTATATGTATTCAACGTTATACCAGTATACTTGTGATCTCCCTCAACCTGTTGCAGCAGTAGGGGTACATGGAGGCTTTCCGATCCTAGCAAAATAGTACCCCTAATAATACACCCACTTCATTTTAACGAAATTTCAATATGTGAATTAATTACTTTTTTGTCCCACAATATTCGTCGGAATGCACTGAATTAACATATTTTTCCTAATTTTTCTGATGGAGAACCCTGACAGAGTGACAGACTCTCTATTTGAGGTTTGCGCCAACGATGCGTTTTCATTTGGAATCTCAACCCAAACAATTGTTCTCCCATATGTCTTCTGCTCGTTATTTGTAACCATAGTTTCAAGAAGCTTGTGCCACTGCTTTCAAAGGTCAAGGTTAAATGTCAACAGTGAAAATTAGCTGCCCACTGTTTTCATTTATAGTATCATTTGTATGCTACAATCTAAATATGAATACTTTGTGGTACATGAAATTCTCTATGTAAATTGATGATATCTTGAATAAACATGTTATTTTGTTTGTAAAGGTATTTTATTCATGATATAATGGATTAGGAAACTGGTATTCACCTATACGACCCATTTCCTTAAATATGAATAAACATAATAAAAGTATGATGATATGCATACAGTTGTCCTACTTTAGATAGATGTGCATAAATGATTTCATATGTATATGGTTATCTCAAACAGTAATATGTAGTATGATATGTTTTTCTACATGGTTTCAGTCATCTAATTTTAAGAGGGTCACCATGGCTCAATGATTTAGACGCTTGCTCACTCACCTGAATATTCCTTGTACAATCTGCATCCTGCATCGGTTTAGGTATACTTTCAGAATATTCAACCTAGTTTCCCTGCTGTCATTGATGCAGGTCTGAGGGCCTGACATACAAAAAAGTATCTTGTTTTTGAAGCTATACAAATTTAAGGAAATGTCACATACACATTTATCACACACATATATCTACAACAATAACACATCTAAAGTATGTAGTAACACATTCAAAAAAAACATATTTACATTACAACAGAAAACAGAATACATAAACCATGTTTTACACTGAGAATTGTTAGGTAGAGCCAGATATATTGCCGGAAGCGCTGTGTTTACACTGAGTTTAACACACGAAAGCTAGGTTAAAGCCAGCTTAAAGCTCAAAACCGTCTTTTTCCCCTGCAGTGGAAACACAGTATACTATATTTATTAAATACAATACAATTTTTTTTCTATTATTTCAGAAAGATACAATAGGACAATGGCTATTAGAAAGAGTATGCGAGAAATTGAATATTGTAGAAAAAGATTATTTTGGTCTCCGATATGTGGATTCAGAAAAACAGAGAGTAAGTTAATTCAGTTTACAATTTAAGAAATAACATACTGTGCCTGAGGTGTTTATAGGGGGCTAGTGGTGCAACCCAAAGTCAGCTGAGGAACTCATTCCTGGAAAGCTTTATTCTTTTGGTATCTGTATTGGTGTTACACTAACTGTTTGCTCACATATCAATATTACTATTAGTGAGAGTAAATTAACCTTCCCAATAGAGATTATACTTATACTTTTGGAATATTAAATCTGGCCTCTCTCTTTCAGTAGTATACATTATAGGAGTTTATTTTAAAAAGATTTCATTTTGTTTTACTTTTCAGCATTGGATAGATCCCATCAAACCAGTGTACAAACAACTCAAGGGTAGGTACAATATTCTACTAGTTTATACTAACTATGCTGAAATTCGTAAGGCTTACAAGATTATGTTGAAATTCTTGGGAGTAAAGCCACTTGAAATCTAAAACAAAATGGTACAATTAAATATTAATAACCCCGGTTAAACTAGAATTAACTGACAGCCCCTTGTCAACAAGATATACTGGTCATTGCTTGAAACTCAAACTGAAATGACTGGCAAAATCAAAAGGTTTTTAAGGACTAGAAAGTATGAGACATTGGGGGTTCCATTCTTGTAAAGCCAGGCCTATGTTTAATATAAAATGTTTTATTATTAGTATAAGTATTAAAATGTGTGTTTACAGGTGTAAGCCCAATGGTTTTGTGTTTTCGAGTCAAGTTTTACCCAGCAGAACCAATGAAGTTACATGAGGAGATTACACGGTAAGTAGAAGAGTAAGAGTTTTTTAGAACATTGTCAAATTCTACTGAACTGATTGCACATATAAGGAGTCTGTTCAAAACATCACAAGCTTTTAAAATCACACTAGAAATTCCTAAGCAATGTTGAATTTAATTGAAATTCAAGATTTAAGATATTTTACCTTTGAAACACCCCATTGTTTATTGTGTATGTTTAGTCTATGATATAAAACGATGGAGGTTAGAAAGGTTTATCTGTTTTTACTAGGTTATACTTGTTATTCTTTCTCACCTCTGACCTCTGACCTGTAATATCTTACATATGTCCTACATTATAATATATTACCACTGAGGTCATAGAGCACATTCTTCTGTATGTCTTTACAAATTCTTTTCAACATTTTTAATCTTTAAGTAAAATAGGAGTTCTCTCCCTTTTAAAAGTCTGAACATATTAAAGAACGAGCCCCTGGTTCTGATTGAACGCTTCCTGATGTTGAATGCTATCTTAAGCCAAATCTGAAGCAGAAAAGTTGAATTGAAAAATTTCATTTCATTAGCTTTTATATTTGCCACTTACAGTTTCAAGTGAATATGACAAAGTTTTCAAATTAAAAATTGGGTCACTTTTATGATTGTATATAAAAAGATATCCATTGATATTTTTTAGATATTTCATGTTTCTACAGTTACGTAGAGATTTACACCATGGCCGACTTCTCTGTTCCCCACAAGACGCTATTCTACTTGCTGCATACATTGTACAGTGTAAGTTAATTTTATTTGAAATTCAAGAGATATAGTTTTTATTTCTGCACTTTGTTTTTATAAAACTAGATGTTAGTACTTGTTAGAATGATTGACATAGACTGTGTCCAATACCTACAAAAATCTATTCAGGGAGCAATTTCTGAGTTGTGTCTGAGTCCCTTGTGGAACATCAAGTGTAGTATAGTGCAGTATATCTGAAATATGAATTTGTTACATTAACTGACCAATGACCATTTACATAATTTAAGTTTTTGTGAAATGGGACCAAGGCAACCCAATTGTCTGAAGAGAGTGCAATATATTGTGTAATATTACAGCTGAAGTAGGTGATTATGACCCTGTGGATCATCCTAATGGATATATCAGTGAATTTAAAATGTTGCCTAAACAAAACCCTAAAATGGAAGAACAAATCATGGAGGCACACAAAAATCTGAAGTAAGTGAAAAAATATCAAAGTTATAATTGTCTTGTTACATATTCTTGATCCAAAATTGGTGGCAAATCCATCTCTGCGTGGCTGAAATGTCTGGCTGTGAAAGTTTCAAGGCACAGACTTGTACTAAGAGTATATGAAACTTATCCTTATTACAAAGAAGATCTATAATGATATGAATAATTTATATAGGGGCCAAGTACCATCAGAAGCTGAAAATAATTTCCTTATAAAAGCCTGTCAACTAGATACATATGGTGTTGATCCACATCAAGTTAAGGTATGTTAAATTTATAAAATCCTTCTTTTATCATCCAGATATCTTTTGTCGATATACACTTAGAAAAGAGTGTCATAAGGTGTTTCAAAAGGGTGCACATATCATCTTGTGTATCAAACAAACTATGGATCACTTTTAACAGGAATTAATTGTTCTGTTCTCTCCCATGTTTTTTCAGGATTCCCGAGGTGATCAGCTATATCTAGGGGTAACACATCAGGGTATAATGACCTTCAGAGGAAGCAGAAGAACACAGTTATTCAAATGGAACCAGATCCGAAGGTTGGCATATGAGGGGAAGATGTTTATTGCTCATGTGAACATCACGGAGGTAGGAAAAAGTAAATTTACGTAAATTAAAAACCATAAGATTTCAAACTTAGGATCATATCTCAATTAAAAAAAGTAGTTTAACATCTTTCTATTATTATTATTTTGCTCTTTATGTTTTGTAGGATGAAGAAGTAACCAACCCCAAGAAGGTTTGTTATTTAGATTAACTTTCATAATTACACAAATTTTGTGTGCGGATTTCCTTTCTATGTGTGTGTAACGTAGTGTGCATAGTAATTCACCATTCGGCTTTCATAGAAACATTTTCAAAAGAAAAGTGTTACAATTTCCAGCCAAAACTTGCTTTATAGCATCCCAATCAGACAGCTTTCATAACAAAATTCATTCCAATAGAATACATATATTTCTAACAAGGTTCTATTCTATATAATTGAATAATAGCCTAAACTTAAACTTCATATCTTAGATTAAAATATGATAATTTCCCCATTAAAACAGCTAGAACTAATTATAATGTCCTTTTTGGAATAACTTTTAGTATATTTATACTTGGCATGATACCTGCCAATAAACATCCTATGTTAAAATTTCCTAACTGCTATAAAAGAGCCAACACACCCAATAGATTAGAAATATTTAAAAAAAACAATTTCGGTGAATATTTGGTGTCTTGGTTTTGTGGATTTCCCTTCCCTGGCTTGTGGATGAACTCCTTGGAATGCTTGAATGATTTTTGGTATCAGGTCAAATTAGTTTTCAGTATTTATCATCCACATATCATTATCATTCTAAATCATGTATTAATATTCAGGAACATCAGATTTGTAAGCAAACCTTGATTACTCCTGTGTCAACGAAAACCCATAGATTAAAATTTGTATTCATCTTGCAGCCATTATTTAGTGTCTTTAAATTTTAAACTGGCTTTAACAGACACCTTATGTAAAGTAAAAAAAATAGGAGTAGAGTCATCAAACTTTCTACTTTATTCATTATCATCTTTTCTCATCATTATCATCATTATCATAATCATTATCATGTATTTATTTTTAGGAAGGAGCAGATAATTCAGATGAGGTCAACATCTTTTTAGATTTCATTTTTAGACTGTTTTTGTTTTGTTTGCAACTAATTCTTGCTAGTTAATGCAGACTTTTTTTTGTTTTTAGCATTTTATTTTGTTTTAAGATAAATAGATATTCCTTTGAAATATATTTACATAGAACAATTCAATTTAAATTCCAAACTCTGAAAATTCCATTTTGAATTGGAATCGTCGGCTTTGTTCTTGTTTGAAAATATGCAAATAGAATAATTGACATTATTATTCACTTCACCTGACGATCAAGACCAGAAGCTGAGAAATTAAAGCAACTCCACGAGTAAGAGACTAACGAGTATCAGATCTACTTTATTTCAAAGGAATATTTATTTTATGAACAAGTAGTATATTAGAAGAATTTTAAGTTTTTAACAGAATCTCTCAGTTGTTTCAACCTCTGAAATGTGTCTTCCCCCATTGCATTCTGATATCACATGTTTACTAACAACATTGTTTACTGCAATCAAACTAATATATTTGTGTACATCTGGTATGATTCATAACATAGACTACCTAGAAATAACTAAACTCCTTTTGTTTATGTTTTAAATTGTCCCAGAGATGCACGTTGCTTGACTATAGATACCAATAATGAAAATATCTCAAATAATTTATTTGAAAACAGAAAACTGTCAACCCAGCTCCCGATCATTTTCAAGGCCTTAGAAAAAAAAAGTGGAAAACAAGATTTCATGCTTAATCTGTAGAAAGGAGCTCATCTAAGAACTGGAGGCAAGAGCTTATTTCAAGGCTATAGACAAATCTCATCTCAGAATTGCAACTTAAGCTTATCTCAGAACTGTAAACAAAAGCTTATCTCAGACCTGTTGACAAGAGCTCATCTCTGAGCCGTAAACAAGAGCTCATCTCAGACGTAAACAAGAGCTCATCTCTGACGTAAACAAGAGCTCATCTCTGAGCCGTAAACAAGAGCTCATCTCAGACGTAAACAAGAGCTCATCTCTGAGCCGTAACCAAGAGCTCATCTCAGAGCCGTAAACAATATCTCTTCTCAGAAATTGAGACAACATCTCAACTCAGCTGTAGAGTCAGTTCAAAACTGTAGACAAACAATTTGTGGAAGTTATGTAGTTTTTATTAAACAAAGAAGTTTACTTGCTTGCTATAAACCTAAATACATATTTCTTATGCTCAATTTTCTCAATTATTTCCATTAAAGAAAGCTTTTAGAATCTTTATTGTTACAAAATCCCTGTATGAAAATATAAAATACTGTTATTGTCTCGGATAAATGGTGCTATTAAGACTTTGATTCTTTCAACGTTTTCTCCATCACGTCTTCTGGGATATTTTTGGACTTTATCTAACTTTCTTGGCATGGTTGCATGCGTTTGACTAAGAAAGTCATCAGATGTATCAAAATATTCAGTTTTACTTTTGTTTTTTGTAGGGAAAAAAATATTTATGCACTGGATCAGTAGTAGGCCAGAATTCTTAAAAATTTTATTTATTTTTCATCCCAGTTTATATTCTGTTTCTCGTCATAATCTCAGGGATTTCAGGGTTATATTTATTTGATCATACATTCATTTTCCCTTCGTCATTTTTTTAGCGTAAAAAGGAGAAGGAAAAGGTGACTTTAGTGGTTAATGGGATAGTTGTGCACCCATAATTCTTTGCTGCTTCCTGTATTATTCCGCCATTGGTCATGTCTTGTTACGCACTTGTCATTCCATTTTTATCATCGTCCAGTTTTTTGTCATATTTCAAAGATCGACGTTGTCATGTTTCCAAGTCAAATTTCAATGGTTCTCATTCACTTTTTCATCAATATTATGTTTTATCAATTGAAATTTTAACATTCTGTTTGAATTGTGTGTATTTGCTAGTATGTAATAAGATTATGTAAATTTTTGCCAATTTTAAGCAAAATTAAGTTTTTCTCTACCTGCACTTTCAAGTTTATGTATTAATTTAGCCAGTCAGCTATATGATGATGTTATGATGATATTTTCATCTAAGACATTGGGATTATTGAACTAAGTATAGCACTCATTACTGCTCTATATGGGCATTCAATGGCACGCAAGTCAACCCCAAGCAAAATCAATTCTGTATCATTGCTAAAACTATTTCTAATTCTGTGTACATTACAATGATGTGGTACTAAGTGTACATTAATTAGGGCGATTGCTGTTCAAGTAATATACATAGTTTCAGTCTATGATCTAAGTTCCATGTTACATTTTTTCATATCCCATTTTCATGCATGAAGTAGTTAAATATTATTAGTTATTGCATGAGTTATTATATTCTGTTGCTATGGTAACCAGTTATTATGCATGGATTATTCAATTATTTTTTTTATTGGTTAAATTCACAGATGTTACAACATGTATTAAGTACAAAATATTGTTGAAATTACAGAATTTTGAAATTATTTTGTCGCAAAGAAGTTGAAAGTCACATTTTTGGCAATACCAAGTACAAAGTTTTACTTATTTGAGGGCTTAAGCTTGTTCTCAGTTTTTAAAATATTGAACCAAACGTTATAGATACCCAGATATAGAACAAAATACATTTGGTGAACCAACACATTGTGTATCATAAGTTACATGATATTCATTAGGTGTAAATATTGCCAAAACTTGAAGCAACATATCCATTCTTGACTTTTATTATTGTGTTATCAAGTTGAACCAGAAAACATGGATTTAATAAGTAAATAAGTAACCAAATGTAATGAGAGATATATTTTTTTATATAATTTTTTCAACATTAGCCAGTAAAGTTGGATAAAGATATTTGTGCAAATTTGAGGATGTTTTCAATCATAACTACATCAGTATTTCATTCAATTGAGACTTTGTAAACCAGACCAAAAAAATAATAAAGACTGCTGGTGTTTTGAATCTTTCACAGAGGTGCTCAAATATCTTTGTCTTTAGTTAGACATAGCGCATGAGGCTCTGTGGAACTTCAGGCTTTGGTTCTTATTGTCTTTGTTTCATTGCCTGTTCTTATTTTGTTTGCATGTTATCCAACTAAAGAAAATGATTAATATGAGTAATCCAAGATTTATGTTAATTTGGCCAAGTTACTGAAAGAAAATATGAGATTCTTTAAAAAGTTTGAAATTTCAGGGGCTTTTTTTTAAATAATGTTATCTAGAAATAAACTTAAGTGAATGTTGATGAAAATTATTGCCAATCAGAGCTTGTTTCAGATTCTCGTGACAATAATATTACCTATCTCTGATTGGACAATGGCAATTATTTAAACCAATCAGAGACTTATAATATTCAAAGTTATGATGTTTCTGGCAACATGCCTACTTTCACTATATACAGTAGAGATATTGACCCTTATTGAACTATGACAGCAGTAATTCTGTAATAACTAACAATTTGTATTATTATATTAATTAGAAACAGCAGCCAATTGGATATAAATGTGCAACAACTGCAGCATGTAAATATTTGTGGAGATGTGCAGTAGAACAACAACTTTTCTTCACGTAAGTTTATAGCTCATTGTTTCTTATTCTTGAGGGATTCCTTCCAAGCTCAGTTGTATTGTCTTGTAGCTTGTTGTATATCAGTCCAAATACCTTGTGATATTGTCAATGCAATACTGAAGCTGAAATCACAGGAGTGTGATCGACCATTCCATAGCTTGTTGTGTTGTCAGTGATAGGCAAGTCCAACTTACTACCAACAGAATATTCTACTGCCATAAAAAGAAAGGATTAACCAAACAGTATTTTTCTCATAAGACCATATTTAAAATATTTTTCTAGCAGTAAACCCCTGGATATGTTTTAACAGAGAGTTTTGAATTTTTCAGATTGTCATCTTCTATCAACACGCCAAAGGTTAAATCTGGTGGAACTCTGTTTTCTCGAGGATCAAAATTCCGTTTTAGTGGGCGTTGTCAGGCAGAGGCTTACGTAGCCAGTGAAAACATTAAACGAGATGAACCTCCCTTTACAAGGTGAGTGAAATTGTATTTTTATGTTGTTAAAAGTAGCACTAGCCACCAAGATATCAAAATTGGGACTATTTTTGGAAAAAGTAAACTAGCTCAGTTTCAATTGGACTAAGGAATGTAGAGAGACGATTAAATATTTTCGTTGAGGTGGAAGGCTTATTGGGCACCAAGTATGAGGCTTGTAAATTTATGTGAGCTCTGCAGTTGAATGATGAATCCAACCAGAAATAATTTAGAATTTTACTGTCAAGTATACATACAGTCAGTTAATTGCAAAACAGTTCTACGATGCAAAAATAACAATGTATTATATCTTGTGATGTTTTCAGGACCTCCTCTCTGCCTAACTTCGCTCGTAAACACGATAGAAGTGCGCTAAAGGATGCATCCATTACGTCTGAACCTCCAGTCCGTGAAGGTGAGTTATCAACCCTCTTTTTTAAATCTCGTCCAACCAAGATATTTGTGTTCATCTTGGAGAGAATCAAAAAATAAACACAAGCTGTCCAGTAGTAATGACAGCAAAACAATGCGTGTCTTGTGCTTGTATTTAAGTTTTGAAACTGCCAAGATGTGGATAGATATTTTTGTTGAAGTAAATTATGTATGTTATTAGTGTTAATGGTTGTATATTGTAAATGGTTATCGTGATTTATATAAACAGTTATCTCATGACTCTTTCTTAGTCCTTTCATATCTTCTTTTATTCAAGTATTATTATCTTGCCTTGTGCTCTTGACTTTCGCGCTTAAAGCATATATAGGCCAAGACTATTGGGTATAAATATTGATAAAACAATTAGATAAATGGTGCCAAGGGAAGATATTAAATGTCTATAAAGCAATAGTAATTTCTTGATTAGTTTGATGTCTGTTTCTATGTTGTCTGTTATTGTGTATGTTATAAGGCCATCATGAAGGCAGATAGAACTCTATTTTAATGTACAATGATTGCTCTGTAGAATGTAACTTTCTTTTTTATCATGGCTATTTCCGAGTGACAACAGTCTTTCTGTTTGAATATTTCTTTCATGAAAAAAAAAGATGTCTGACTGAGAACTGGAATGGTGCAAATCAATGCTTTCAAAGTCCCAGATATACATAAAAAGTTTCAAAAAGCTCCTTACAATCCCTTTAAAGGAAGAGTTATAGACATAATTACATCTGATAGAACTCAATTCCTACCTTTTATTAATGGAATGAAATTATACATAATTATAACCTTATTTTTGATAAAGAAGCCAAAACTCATTAAAGCCATGATAAGAAATATTAGAATATAGTTAGTAACTTGTAGTAAAAAATACTTTCTAATCCTTTCTAGATTTATCCAAGAAATATAAAGGTGAGTTATTGTTGTCTGTCACCCGGATTTTTTCATTAATTAGAGTTATCTTTCTTTAAACTTTTAATAGAAAATGCAGAGGCTACTAACCAAAGTACAAATCTTGGTCATTACAGTGTCCATTTTATTTTTACTGATTGATTAAACTATAATGCTTTTGAAGTTATCCTCTGTATTTTCTAGAAAAAAAAATTAATTTTTAACCCAGCACCTTTTTTCACAGGCTTATGCATTCTTTTAATATTTGTATTATTGAATTTAATTCAAACTTTCAGCATAATTTTTATATATTTTCATATATATAAGTCTTCTTTTAACAGTTTAAGAGTTGGTCCATACCCAGTCCTTACTTGATAAAGTTTGTTTCTATTTGTGAATTGATGATGATGATTTCAAACTTTATTCTTTATTTCTATTATTTAATATTGATTTTGTTCTTGAAATTTCTCAATAGTCAGGTTTACGAAATTTGATATACAAACTTGGCTTGTTTCTGTTTTGACACTAACTTATATGACCGCTTCTTAAGACATATTTAGTATTGGTGATCAAATATCCACCTTTTTCCTTGCCTTTGATATTCACAATAACTTGTTAACTTCCGATAAACCTATTCAGTACATGCCTTTGAAGCAAGTTTGAATCTTTTTGCACTGCTGTGAACATCTCATGTTTAAGTTTCAGGAAACTCTTATTTCTTCTCAGTACTCTAGATATTATCTTCTGTGCTAATTATGAACTACTTTCTTCAGTATAATAAGGTGACTGAACCTTCCAGCTGTTAATTGACTTGTATACTGATAGTTAAGTTAAAGCTATCATGATCTGATAAAAAAAAAGGGAAACATTTTATTACAAGCAGCATTTTTTCTCTACTGTCTTTTCTTTTCAAAATGTGCTACAACAATAGGATACATAGACTTGTATAACAACTCACCAAAAGTCAATAGATTTGAGATTTTTGAACAAATTTGGAACTCTTAGCATTTGCTGTTCAAAAATCAAAACCCCATCACCATACAAGGATAAAATACATTCACAAAAAAAAACATACCAAAATTAGTATAGTCAGTAACAATGTCAATATGCACATTATCATCTGGGGTGTACATATCATGTTTTTGTTTGCGTGAAAGCTTTAAACCTATTAAGTATGAAGCAGCTAAGGTCTTGAATATTTTAACCTGTTCATAATTTGGTCAGTTCAAAGTTTATCTGTAAATTTCTCTAGATAAACTTCTAAAATAAAGATAAGCTGGGCAGATTGCCTAACTTGCCTCTTCCTCTACTTCTATTTCTAAAACTGTCTCTGTCTGTGATTGAAAGAGAGTTTAATGTGTAGATTACTAACTAGAGTTTATATAAAATAACAGTGTGTTTAATAACCAACTTCTGTTGTTTGTAGTTAATACTTGGAGTCCAAGAGTAATCTCTGGTAATATTTTTTATCTCCTTCCCTTCCTCTCTAAATTTCATTTTAGGCTTGACTTGTGATTACTTTGGGCTTTATTTTGAATGTCTTTTCAAAACTTGAGTGCAGTTTAACTGCTGTTTTGTCATTTGTCAACCTGTTAAAATTTTAATGTATGTTTTTGTGTGTCAAAGAATTTTGTTCATTTTCTGTTTTCTAAAATTCTGAAAATGTTTGTGTGTGAGTTTTGCATCATTGCTTGATAAAGACGAAAGCATCATCGCAAGTTATTTATTATAGTAATTGTTATCCATTTAATTGTGTCCAGTTATTATTGAGTTATTATTGAGTTCAAAGCTTAAACTTTCGTTTTATTTTCTAACAAACTTATATTTCAATTTTCATCAAATTATTTTGAATTTTAAATTGTTATAAATCTGGGATTTGTAGTTAAAAGCATCTTAATTGAATATCACTCTATGAAATTAGGACATTTGATTGGTTGTATTACATTGATATTGACCAATGAGAAACTAGAGAATCCTTCAGAATTAAGATGCTTCAGACCACAGAACTCTGATCTAATTAGTGCATGATTGTTAATTATATTAATTATATTATATTAAGTGATTTTTTGCATTTATTTTATTTGCACAGAAAGCAGCATGATTGTTAAAACACTCCCAACTGCCCCAATCATTTCTGTCACAGAAAACCGTGGTAAATATCATTCACTTGATGCCAATTAATTTAAAAACTTGGATTAACTCCCTTAGCTAGAAAATTAACCAATTTTCACAAAACATTAATCTGGCATAGATTAATAAATTTTCAATTATTTTGGGTAATTTGTAAATTTGGGTATCAAGCTTTTTTTTGATTAACCTACTTAAAGGATTGTAAAATGAGTTTTTTTTATGTGTATCCGGGACACTGATAGCATCAATTTTCATCATTCCAAATTTCAATCACAAGTCTGTGGTTCATGCAATTCCACTAAAACTAACTTTTTGATGACATGATAAATTGCAAGGGCTTTATGTGATGCAAGTATATTTTGCAATAAATGACATCATGAAACACTTATTTCAAGTAGAATTGCAGGAACCATAGATGTTTGATTGAAAATTGGAATGGTGTAAATTGATGCTATCAGTGTCCCTGATACACATAAAGATTTAGAAACCTACTTACAATCCTTTTCATTTAAAAATTTTAATTTTGCATTTTTTTGCTATTTTGGTCACTCAGAGCACAGTGTGTTGGTGAAATATTTTGCACCCTTTGTTTTTTTTTTGCACTCACAAAAAAATCTAACCCCCACCCCCTTTTTTTGTCAACACAACAACCCATCCTATGATTGTTTTTTAGTTTTATTTGTTGAAATGTTTGAATAAAATACCAATTAATCATCTAAATACAATCTTGTTGAGGGCAATCAAACATTTTAAAATAGACCATTATTTTATTAATATCAACAGCTTGATATGACAAATTTTAATTATTGACTTCACGTCCCCTGTTCATTGTATTTCCTTGCTTTGCTTGCTAGCTGTCCTGATAAAGATGTATCTTTTGATAGCATTTTAAGACAGAGTCTGGCGACATTATTTTGTAATTTTGATATCAAATTTATCATACAATAGAATTAACTTTCAGTCAGCTGCTTTGCTTCAAATAATGTGAACAATATTTCTTTTCGCTCGGAATTAACATCTATTACATTATGAGAAATTCACCTACAGTTGAGGTGTCCTCAAAGTATGATAAGAATCTACATTATCTAATTATAATAATACACACTGAATAACGATATCATTATTTAATGTTTGTAGTTTACCCAACAACTAAGGACCGCGTTGGAGGAGGAGGTAAAATTGTCATTCCGATTTTAATTTTTATGGTGTTTTTTTTTTCAATATTTTAGTTTAGGTTCAGATACACTCATTTGTCATTGGTATCATTAGCCATTTTTATCTCATTTTAATGACTTTTTGTTTTTGAATATCGGAATCTGGGAAACTTTAATTATATTTTTGGATCATCGTTATTTAGGTAGTAGTTTTAAAGTTCCATCATCATAATTTCATCATCATATGGACATCATCCTGACTTAAATCATCATCATCATGATCTTGACCTTAATTCATCATTATTATCATCATCCTGATTTGTCAACTTCTCATGATTTCAAGTCATGATCTTGATCATTATTTTCATCATGACTCAAAATCATTCATCATCATCATCAT